TATGCATGATAATCTGTAGTTCGTGTCCATTACATGTGCATTTTAATGTTATATGTTAAAGTGATTTTTATGTCTTTGATGAGTGGAATGTGATATTGTTGTTTATCTATCTGTGCTATGTACATATATATGTTTTGTTTATGTTTGGCTATTCGGTGTGTATTCCTACACCGTGAGCCAGGGTGAGATGTTTCTCACTCCCTTTTCTTTTGTGTTGTTTTCCTTTGATTGTTATATAGGTGATCATCAGCATGGGGTTGAGGATGTTGGCGACGAAGCTTAGGCTTCAATATTGGGCTTTGCTCTGATAGGACATGTATCGGGGCATAGATAGGATTAAATTAGGATGTTGTTATTATTATTTTGGAAACCTTAGCATTATTTCTTTGTTATTTTTGCTGATTTTGTTATTTGTTTAAGTCTTGGATGTGATCTGAACACTTTTGATAGTTTAATATGAAAGATTATGTTCTTCAAATTTTGTTATCTATGTGTTATGGTATGCGGGGTAAAGGGTGTCACAACTATGCCTAAAGTTATTCTATATTTGACCTAGAGATAACAAGTTTGATGTTGTGGTTTGATAAGATCAACCACTTAGACTGCTCACTAAGTGGTAGCTAGGAGATCTCTAGAGTTAAAAATGCATGACAATACATAAATTATTAAAGTGAAAATGCATGACGACACATAAATTGTTAAAGTTGCATAAGTTAAATTTTTTGTATAAGGTCATAAAGTTTCTCAAGTTAAATTGTTACGTTGTTTATGATGAATAAGGTCATTAAAGTGGTGAAGCTTGTTGTTATGTTGATTGAGTTGAAAGTTGTATCTTGTGCTTAAGTTGTTTATATGTTGATTAATGTTACACAAGTTTATCCTTATCTTCCATGTGTTGAACTACAATAATTATACTTGGTATAAAAGTAGGTTAGGATTAGGTTGGAAGGCGAGCTTGCATTTTGGTAGCATCTTGGATGATGGTGTTATGTGGATGCTAATTTGATATAGCTTGTATAGAGTTTACTTGACTGATACTTTTATGTTTTTAGTTCTTTGATGTTGTAAATGTTGATCAAGCTCAAGATGAAGACATAGTGTATTTAGTTTTGATGATTACAAATATAATCCTCTTGAAAAATAAAAGTGCAAATTGTATCTTGTTGTGTGTTTAAGTTCTGTTACTTGTGTGCTTTGTGCTTTTTAGGTAACTTAGCCTAACATCTCTATCTAGATGATGTTTAATGACGAAAACAAGTTTTAAAAATGATTTGAAAAAAGGTTTGATATGAATAATTGAAAAATTAAGTTTTCACTTAAAATAATTGATTAACTTAAGTAATATCCATTATTTGCTTTGTTTTTCAGTAACTTGAGAAACTTTGCTATAATAATTTATTCAACAAAATAATTGATTATTTCAGTAATAAATTTTTGGAATAATCAATTGTCACTCAAAATAATTGGTTAAACTATTTTTTTTATTTCCAGATATGAAAAGAATAAAATAAGAAATTATTCATGTAAATAATCGATTATTTTTGTTAAAAAATTTTATATATCATTTTTCACATTCAGAACTAAGAGAACTTAAATATTTGTGATACTACTTTTGAAAATACTCTTTGAAAAAGTTTCTCTTTGCAAGAAGAAGTTTGATACCTTTTGTGGGAACCTTAAGAAAGGATTCAAGAATTGAATTAATCAACATCTTCATGGAGTTATAGAATAAACTACATTGGTTTGATTCACCTACTCTAAAATATTTTGTACATCAAGTGAATTCATTCTTTAATATCCGTAACTTTTTTTCTTAAGTATATGTTTTAGGAGAAAAAAAATCTTATAGTGAGTGCTACAAGTAAGTGTTTCTTCGAGTGTAAGAAATGGTTTCTTTGGTGATGTAGAAGTGTATTGCATGTGGTATTATTATTATAAAACTTATGACATGAAAGATTAGTGAAAAATCTCAATTGAGTTGGTTAGGGACTGGATGTAGGTCACAAGTGGATATGACTAAAATAATATAAATTTGCCATATATTTTTCTCTATCCCTACACTTATCTTTACATTCTTGCAAATTTGATTATATGCTTAATGTTATATGAAATGAAACATGAACATTGCATATAAGACTATTTGAATTTTAATTTGCTTGTAATCTCAACATCATGTCATATATACTACTATGTATCAATATACTTCTTTGGAAAGCCTTAGAAGAGGTTTTTTTTTTTAAACAAAGGAGATTTAGAAGAAATTTTTTAATAACTAATTTACCCTTTCTTGGTTAAGTCATCTTTTCTAACATTAAATAATTATATATATATA